TAATTATTTTAAGCTAAAGAACCCCGTTCACAAAGAAATGGCTCAACAAAATTAAGAACATAAACTCGTCCCTATTTCGTTTGATTCAGGTTAACATCAATCAATTATTTATAATTAATCGCTTCCCATTTGGAAAAGCTTCACAATATTTATTTAAAAATACCCGAAACAAAGGGCTTCATTCTCTCAAATTTAATACAAAATGTGGGTGAGGCGCACGGCCCCACACAGGCCAACGCCGTGTGCGGTGAGCGCCAACCAAACAACGCACTTACCTCGAAGATGTACGAGAAGTTGGAGACTGAAACGTAGTCTGCAGCAAAACAACTGGCGAACCAGTAACAGATAGCTTGGCCCCTTGGTAGTGCGTAAGCACAAACATCGACCGAAGTCGCTCATGTCAATGCGTATAAATGCCACACAGAATTCGATTATATCCAGCCACAGTGAATGTCCGTCACACGTTTTAGGCACACGTCGAATAATAGGCACACTGGCCATAAAAATCCCTTCGTGAGCGCCACCACCTATTTCAGACGTGATATAAGTATAAGACTAAATTCTGATTGCATGATCAGAACGTGTCATGAGTCTACCGCTCGCCTCAAGGGAATGGAGTCCCAAGTTGAGCGGCTTTCGGCCGCAGCTTGAGTCTCCTCCCTCCAGCTATCGACCCCATGAGGTCGACACAACTAATACAATGGCAAATATAGCCAATGGAAAATATATACTAATAATAATAATTTAACCATCAGAAAGGGTTTGTAAAATTGACGTTGAGTGTTTGAGTGGGTGAAACAGCCATGGTCGCAAAACGCTATATGCGTTTTGCGACCATGGCTGTTTCACCCACTAATAAGTTGCCTTTATTCATTCAAATTTGTTAAAATTTAAAGAGATACTTTATTGTTGTTATATAAAACATCATGGAGGTCAGACAGTCTGCAGCCTCGTCATAAAAAGACCCGACTTGGACAAAACTACTTAAGTGTGAGTCAAACCAAGACGCAGGGAGCGCCATTGAGAATAGCGACCCACCAAACAATTATCGCAGAGACGCAATACTGCAAAACGCAACAAACATCAATACGACTATCATCCTCGTATTTACGCCATCCCAAGGGCCACCATATGATCCTAGCGGACATCACCACCTGCATACCTCCATCGACCAGAACATCACAAGACGCAATTTCGCAAGTAGCAGTAAGCATCAATGCAACTGTTATACGGATGGCGCGCCCTCAGAAGAAAAGCCGTTATGGAAGAAAGGCGATGCTACCCATCCTCTGTTTTAGTGTCTCTCACCTTAGTAACACACCCACGACTACATAATTAACTATATAACTAGTACATAAAACTAATAAACTGATATCTCTTTATTCACTTTTATATTTTCGTTATTTTTGTTTAGATTTTAAGTATCATATTGAAATTTATTTATTTATTTATTATATGGACAACAAAACAGATAACAATCAAAATACATTACAATATAATATAAATATAACAGTTTTATGCCAGATTGTTATCCTAAATATGTTGACACATCATTTTTATATGAAATACAGGAGATCAACTCTACGCTTTGCAATGTTTATGACATACATAATTATAGTAAACAAAAAGTAAAAATATACAAATAAGAAACTTAAAACCTATGTGATATGGGAATGAGTGTGCATAAGTGTATACTGTTTCACTGCTCTTTTAAATGTCCTGGATCTTGGGTCAAAAACATCCATGCCGGAGCTTTTCATGGATATCTCGTTGTAAAGTCGACACATTCTTACTATCGGGTTATAAAAGGAAGTATTATTCTTATAAGTCTGCAGGTAAAATGTCTTGTTAGGAATTCGGGGATTGCGCTTTGTAGTTAAGTTTAATTTACTTAAGAGGTAATCGGAATCAATCTTATTATGGAGAATTTTATGTAAATATATAAGGTCATATTCCTTACGGCGAATAAGTAAGGTGGTCACTTTAAATTTGTCGAGTAATTCACTATAACTAACTAGATTACGAGCAAACCCACATTTGTAGCTAAGTATTCTGAGAGTTCTTTTTTGGACGTTTTCTATACTATCTGAATGGACCGTGTAGCAGGGAGACCAAATGACACAAGCATATTCAAGAATGCTACGAACAAGACTACAATAAACGGTCAGGAAGCTTTGAGGCCGTTTGAAGCCCTTAGTGCATCTCGTTATGAAACCTAGTAACTGGAATGCTTTGTTTTTAATGTACGCATAGTGCTCATGGAATGTTAATTTAGAGTCAAATAGCACACCTAGGTCTTTAACTACCGTTTTCCTGTCTAATGAATCTTCGTTAATTTTATAGTCATAAGTCTGTTTATATCTCTTATTAGTGAACGTTATAACAAAACATTTTTTAACATTGAGGTGCATACCGTTAAGCCGGCACCATTCATATATTGAATCTATATCATCTTGTAGTTTACCGCAGTCAGAAAAGTCCTGTATCACGCGGTATATTTTCAAGTCGTCTGCATATAGAAGGCAAGGACTGGACAGTTTGTAAATCAAATCGTTTATAAAAATTATAAAAAATAACGGACCGAGATGTGAACCCTGAGGAACACCAGATTTAACGGTGACAGGTGATGACATGAAACCTTTGAGAGCGACAAGTTGGCTTCTGTTATCGAGGTACGAATGAACCCAGCGTAGTAGATTTCCATGAATTCCTGAAATAGCTAATTTCTTACAGAGTAAAGAATGATTTACTTTGTCGAAAGCTTTCGTAAAATCGGTGTACACGGCATCAACCTGCCCACCCACGGCGAAAACTTCACATAAGTAATTTTTGTACTCTAATAAGTTAGTCACTGTTGATCTGCCTCTCACAAAACCGTGCTGCTTGTTGGATATAAGCGGCTTAACTTGAGAATAAAAATGATCATATAACGCAGATTCGAATACCTTAGCAACACAGCACAAAATGCTAATAGGTCTGTAGTTTTCACAGTTCGACTTACTTCCGGACTTGTGAATGGGTACGATGTGAGCCAATTTCCAAATGGCAGGGAAAACACCGGACTTTAGGGATTTATTAAACAATAATGTTAGTGGTTCACACAGTTCCCTTGCACAATTTGAGAAAAATATAGCGGGAATTCCATCATACCCTGGGCCTTTGCGAATATCTAATTTCTTTAATTTGTCCAATATTGTGGCCTGACTTAGTTCTATATTACACATACTGTAATTACAAAAAGTATCACAACTTACAGTGTCATTAGTAACTAAATCCTGGTTGATGACAGGTTGAGAAACATCGAAAGCTGAACTAAAGTACCGAGAAAAAAGTTCACATATTCCTTGTGTGTCAGAAGAAGTTTCTGTACCAAGAGTCATAGTCTGTGGCATACCTGAACTACCTATTTTATTGCTAACAAAATTCCAAAATATCTTTATGTTGTCCGATAAACCCTCCTCTGTGGAGGTAATAAATGATGCATACGCCGATTCCGTGAGTTTTTTACATCTCGTGCGTAGCAATGCATAAGTGTCGTAATCCCTAGGATTATGATATTTCTTAAAACGACGATGATATTTATTTTTTTCTTTAAGACACTTTATTAATGCTGAAGTATACCATGGTGGATATTTGTTATTGGTTTTACTTACAAGCGGCGTGTGTTTTGCAATTAATTTATTTACGATAGTGTAGAAATTATCGACGGCATAATTTATATCAGGTTCATTCGATAAGCTGGACCAATCAATAGTTGCTAGATCCTTTTTTAAATCATAATAATTACATTTGCGGTAGTTATATCGTATTTGTTGCGCACGTTTAATTGTTTTTAATTTCAAATTTTTCATAATTACAATTTTAAGTGGGGGATGATGAGAATCTAATCGAGTAATAGGCTCAGTAGTTGTTACGAGCACTTTCTCTGTTGTTGATAAAACGAGATCAAGGAGACGGTTATTCTCATTATAGACTGAATTAAGTTGAACTAAGTTACAAAGATTCATAATATCAACAAGACAATTAGATTTAAGGTCGGATGAAATACCCGGAGTCATAACGTTACTATGAGTACTAGGCGACCAACTCAGATGTGGGGTGTTAAAATCGCCAACAAGTAAGAATACGTCTTTATCCTCACCACGAGATATGTTTTTATGAACATTGTCGTAAAAGGCTTGCAAGTGGTCACGGGAAATATCGGGAGGGAGATAACATAAACATAAGTGGAGCTTTCGACAGGAAACATTGCTCGGAAGGATAGTCACCCAAAGATCTTCTACTTGACATTCCCAACTCGCTTGTCTAATTACATGAAATTTTTCCTTAACAGCAATTAATACACCACCGCCTTCATGCTTAGAAATACAACTAGTATGACGGTCTCTTCTGAATACAGTAAATTGAGAATCAAACATTTCAGAATCAAAGACACTGTCATTTAAATTGGTTTCGGTGAAACATATAACATCAAAGTCACAACTTAAAGTATTTAAATAAATATCAGTGACTTTCGTCCTGATTCTATTCACATTTTGATAATAAATATCCATTAATAAATTATTTATAAAGTATGAAATAAAAGTTTAAAAGGTTTAATAAAATAACAAGCAAAAAAAAAAAACTAAAAGAAACCATTATTTTAGAGTGTCCAAAGTGATTGCATTTTTAACATGTATGGCAGTTGAATTATCGTCTTTCCTCATATATACACGGCCATATTTAATCCAGACATATTTATATGACAAGTTTTTGGCAGTTAATCTTGCTGCGGCATGAAGCTGTTTTGTTTCCGGTGAAAGGTGTTCTGAAACATAAACGAAGCACTCCTCTCCATGAACGCCCAAATGAGCAGAGTTCAATTTGGTAGATTTATTGTTCTTGTTGTAGCGTTTGTAAGCAGATATCACGTTATCTCGGTCGCGCTCCGATGGTAAAGTGACAAGTATTCCCCGAGGCCTTTTTGATTTTTTATCAATTTTTGCAACTCGCTTTACAGCTTAAATGTTGGTTTCACTAATTGATATTTTTATTTCTTTTAACAGATTACACACAATTGAGACCAAATTTTCGTTTTTCTTTTCCGGCACACACTGTATTTCAAAATTACAGCCTCTAGAATTTTTTTCTAATATTATGGAGATACGACTGTTTAATTTGTTAATGTGCGATTCTAATGCGGTTTTTTCGGTTTCCATTTTGGCGATGTTTTTTGTAGCAGTATCTAATTTTATTTGCATATCACATTGAAGTGCGGCTAAGTGGTCAGTCCTCTCGGTGAACTCTGCCTTAAGCTTACAAATAGCGCAGTTGATATCCTCCCTAATTGCAGACCTCATATCCGACAATTTTAAGTCCAGGAGTGCGCTGAACTGATCATATGTTATAGTCGCCGATGGTAGTACGGAAGCACTTTTCTCGGTAAAATCAACCGTCTGCGGTGTTATGTTATCCGAAGACATATCCGAGATGTCGGCAGGCGGTGATGAGAGCTGCTTGCGAACAGGCGTATTATCATCTTTACGACGCGTTACTAGTTTACATGATTGGCACTTCCATTGTCGTTTCAGTTCGTGTAAATTGTCTTTATAGAAAGACGTCGATAAATTATAGCACTTGTAATGGTAACATCCCTTGCATGCAATACATTTAAGCTGTTCGTCACTACGAGTGATTTTATTGCATGCTAAACAATGCATTTTAATAATATTGTCGTAGGTAGTAGGTTAAACCGTATGAGGAATATGATGTTACTTGCTTCAAAGCGATAATGCAGCAAAAACAGCGCACACGCAGCGTACTTCGTCCAAGTGAATGCAATTATATGAAGCGCTTTAAGAATTAATTGCCTTCAAAGAGGTGTATTATATGCTAGTAGGCACACGACAGCGCTGCAGATTTTGGCATCGGTCTGTAAGTTACTACTGGAATTAGCGCTTAAGCGGCGTTGTTGTAACTCAGCGGTCGAGCCGTGGGTTGGTGTAGGTCATGGATATATCCGATAACGTAGATTTTAAATAAATATTTTAGAAAATCCTTTTGTAATGTCAATTGTATTATTAATTTACTATCACAGAACCATAAAACACTACACTGGTAATAAATTTAATAAGTTATTCACTACTGTACGGCACTTTTGACTATGTTATTGATTAAAACTCGAAGAGCAGATCTTTACTGTGTCAGCGTAAAATATAATATATAATATAAAATAATATAAAATAAAAATTGAAAGCATATTAGTCGTTACTGATGAATACTTTAGTCAATAACATATTGGTAATTATTAAAGCCTTTAATGGCTAAGTACATTACTAAGAGATATTGTAAATTGAAATACTGTAATGGTCATCTAAAAAACTGCTTTAATTATTAGTGAATGTACAGTTCAAAGGGTAGATAATTACGTAAAGGCAAATTATACCTTTGGAATTACTAGTAAGTAATTAATTGATTAAATTTTAATGTATTTGTAAGAACATAGGTTTATTTTGCAAAGGACATTGTTCTGCGTCCATACAATATTCGCCTAAGAACCAACAGTGAAAAAAAACCTTCTAAAGTCCGAAATTACACATGTATGTAACAATAATTACTGACGGACACTTCTGAAAACTTAGATATTAGCAGTTATCATAGAGATTTTGAGGTTATGGTTTATTTTTATGAAACATTACTATGTTATTGCTAATGTAAGCAGTTCTGTCTTAGCCGAGCATTTATACGGTAAATAAAACTCCGGTTGTGATTAGGTAAATTTATCGCATAACAAACCAACTGCACAGTGCACTTAGATTCCGAAAACATTTGCAGAAATGTATTTTTTCAAACGAAACCAAAACGATCGCACGTCTCCTTCTTCTTTCTTTTTTATGGCGGTTTTTGATTATTCGCCAATGTCAGCGTGAAAGTGTTTATTGAGTATAAGCTCAGTAGTTACAAATAGTATGTACAAAAGAAGATTGTGATAATACAAGTATCTTATTTTCTTTAAACAATTAAATTTTCCTTTTTATCTTGTACTACTAGTGGTTGTACTGTTGAATTAACTAGAACAAATGACAAACACAGTTGCTATAACTACATTAGTGTATTAGTATTGACAAACATTAAACTTTTATACTATTAGTGTTAATAAAATCACACAGAATATATACATAAGGAGTGTTTGTGTAGGTTAAAAGTGAATCGAAATTTATAGGACGAGTGATGTCAGGAGGGAGATGATCATAGAGTGAACAAGATAATTTAGGACAGTTAAAAATATGGTCAGAGGTTCCATCATCTAACCCACATTCGCAGAGGGAACTATTCCTAATCCTCAGTTTGGCTAAATGTACTGGTGTACAAGCATGGCCAATTCTAAGTCTACAAATAGTTGATGTTGACTGTTTGTTAGCTTTATTAAATTTGAAAAACCATGGTTTTGGAGGGATGGCACATTGTACAGCAGCATAGTGTTTACCTTTTATATTTTGAGTGGCTTTCCATAATGTATTCCAATTATTATTTAACTTCTTCTTTGCAAGTAACACTATGTCTGAAGAGTAAGTTAAATCACATGGTAAGCCATTTCGACTAGCATTTTTATTTAATTTTCACTTTCATTGCCCTTGATGCCACTATGACCTGGAATCCAAGCTAAGGAAACCTGAATGTCCTTGAGATGACATCTATACAATGTGTGTTTAATTTTGAGGATCATGGGTATCTTATATTTACTTTAGAACTGGTTTGACAAAATTGCTAACAAACAGCTTTTTGAGTCGGTAAGAATAACAGACTTATTTAAGTTGTGTGCTTCTATATAAATTAAAGCTTCATAAATTGCCGTGGCCTCGCCAGTAAAAGTGGAAGAAATGGAAGGGCATTTAAAATTGAGGATTATTTTGTATCTGGGAATCCAAACTGCTGCTCCAGTGCAAGTTTCATCTGACTTTTTGGAGGCATCAGTGTATATAATAAGCCAGCCTTTCCATAAATTATCTATGACTCTACTTAGTTTACTATTTGCTATAGGGCAATCTTTCTCAATACCAAGGTCGAGGTGGATATTTGGTTGGTAAATAATTGTATCATATGGGATATCAAAGATGGGACAGGACTTACATTGTGATACTGGGTGTGGTAGATGGAGTAATGTTACCAAACTGTTGGATAAGCAGGGAGATTCTTTATGAGTCCAGTAATGCTTTGATGAAATATATTCCTTTTATTTATAGGTGTAATTTAGAAATGATAGGGTGGGAAAAGAGTTGGTAGATTTAAAAAAATAATCGGTCCGAAAGATATTGTCTTCTTAGGTAAAGAGGGACATTCGACTTGGAGAGCATTTATTGGGGAAGATTTCATTGCCCCGATGATTATACGAAGGCTTTTGGACTGAATCCTGTCTAGGATCTTTAGGGAAGACTTATAATATGGTTTCAAGACAAAACACCCATAATCCAAATGACTACGGCTAAGGGCGTTGTACAATATTTTTTGGGAGAATGGGTGGGAGCCCCACCAATCTCCCGATAAAGCGCGCGAAGTATATTTATATTTTTTTCACATTTTTTGAGATATAGTTGATATGATGAGAAAAGACTAGTTTAGAGTCAAGAATAACTCCCAATAATTTTAGATTCTCCCTAATTGGGATAGGTTCATTATTAAAGAGTATGTTGATTTCAGGGACTTGCCTATGGCGAGAGAAGATCACAACACTGCTTTTGCGAACAGACAAAGACAAACAGTTAACCAATCTTGTAAATAAGACATTGATAAATTCAAGTGGGAATAAGCTGTAGGGAGGTTATCCAGGGAAATATATAGCCTCCAATATGCAGACGATATAGCTATATCGTCTGCATATTGGAGGGTGTTACAGAATGAGTTAACAGAAAGTTCTAGATCATAAGTATAGATAGAATAGAACAAAGGACTAAGTACTGAGCCTTGTGGGAGACCCTTCCATACAATTCTTGGCGGGAGTAGAGAATTTTTACTATCAATATAGATGGATCTAGAAGAGAGAAAGTTAGAGACAAAATTTTACTATCCTCACTGGAATACTCAGATTAAGCATTTTTTGCCTGAGCACAGGAAGAAGTACATTGTCATATGCAGACGAGATGTCTAGAAAGACTCCAACAAGGTATTCATGTTTAGAGAAAGCTATACGAATATCAGTAACTAGAGTACTAAGGCTATCCATGGTGCTTAAGCCCTTTCGGAATCCAAATTGGAGTTTTGCTAGAAGGTTTTTGCTTTCAAGAAACCATTCTAAACGATTTTTTATTAGGTGTTCAAGAATTTTGGCCATGGTACAAGAAAGAGCAATAGGGCAGTAGCTTGAGGAATCAGTGTAAGGCTTACCTGGTTTGTGAATAGGTAAAATAACTTGGGATTTCCATTCTTCAGGAGGAATGCCGGACATGTAAATATAATTCAAAATAGAAAGAAGATGGGCTTTAGTAGGTTCACTGCTATTAGTAATAAAAGAATAAGGAATTCCATCGATTCCTGGTGAAGAGTCTTTAAGGACACTAAGAGCAGCATATAACTCCTCATAAGAGAAAGGGGAGTCAAAACTGTGTTGATAGTGTAAGGACTGTGATTGAAATGCATTGTAAGATGGTACTGTGTAGTGTTATGCTACTTACATATCATTTTACACTATTTTAAATTTATTTTTCCATTCTGTTTTGATTTTCTGCATTCACCTCAAAACTGGATATTTTGCATCACCTTTATTTCCATAGGATCCTGTAACGTTGTTAAACCATAAGAACACAATAACAAATCATTTTTACTTCGTATTTTCACGCTATCAGCACTTTTTAAATCGGTGTCGATGGAGTCTACCTTTTTCGATCTTTTATTTAGTTCTCCGTAACTCTGCAATTTCGGGCTTCGTGCGCGCTGGTGCGCTACCTTTTTCCTATATCAATAATATCTCATTTTTTCACTTAAATCTTGCCGTTTCTCTATTACGAGCCTGAAACCAAAATTTGACATGTTTTGACATCGTTGTTTATCTGGTTGTCATGGCAATTTTTATTCGAATTCGTTACCGGTCTGATGTTTTTACTTCAATACTTCCACAAATATACTCTTTTCTTCTTGGGCATTTACAAAAAATTTGCTTTTAATTTAAATAATTTCCCGTCGAGCGCGGAGCTCTCTAGAAAAGTATAAAAGCCGAACGATCGGCCAATAAACTCAGTCTCGCTTCAGCTTTCAAACTTGAGCCATCTCCTAAAGGCCTTATCCCGGGGCCGCACTGCCCCGGGATCCTGCAAGCCTCTGCCTTCACCTGAAGTCGTCGCCTAGCCACGCCCACGCCTCCACCTACTAGTGCCCGCGCTATCTTCAGCCGCTGTGCGCGCCTACTCCGGGCGCTGCGTGTGCCTACTCCAGGCGCTGCATGTGCCTACTCCAGGCGCTACGTGTGTCTACTCCAGGCGCTGTGTGTGCCTACTCCAGGCGCTGTGTGTGCCTATTCCAGGCGCTGCGTGTGCCTACTCCAGGCGTTGCGTGTGCCTACTCCAAGTGCTGCGTGTGCCTACTCCAGGCGCTGCGTGTGCCTAGACCAGACGCTGCGTGTGCCTACTCCAAGCGCTGCGTGTGCCTACTCCAGGTGCTGCGCGTGCCTAGACCAGGCGCTGCACGCCTACCACAGGCACAGCCTATGCATACTAGCACCACCGCCAGG